TTACTTTCTTTATTTTACTTGCTTTTTTTGCAGCATGTCTAATATGGAAAAATGTTTTGCATGACTTCATATGACTGTCATATTGCTTGCCTTCTCAATGGGTAGGGGAGGAGCTGGAGGGAGGAAGAGACTTTGGAACTCAAAATTTTAAAATGGCTCTTGCCTTGACCATAGGGTTTTCTTACTACCAACAGGGTCATAGGATCACCTTTCTAGAAGTAGCAATGATAGCAGAAGCTATTTTATACTCCTCAGATTAAAAAAATAGATAAGGAAGCAGAAGACAAGTCAATTGCCCATCATCACATAGGTAGCAATCTTTTGAAGTGTGATGAACTCAGATCCTCTCAACTCTAGAGTCACTGTTTCTTCTACCATACCAGGCTGCTTTTTTCCTCTTCCTGGCTCCTCTAGACCTAATTCAGGGAAATGGAATGGAGATTTCCACTTAACAGTGGACGAGACAGGCAGCAGCCGTCAAAAGAAAGGATGCAAGGGGTAAAAAGGGTGTGGCCACTGAACTGGTACTCTCTGCACAAACCTGTTCTGACACTGAACAGATGTTAGCTCAAAGAGACTTGGGATAGCTTCATTAACAGCTAATTCTAAACTCCAGGAAAACTCTAACGCTTGTTTGTTTCCCTTCTCAGATAGCATCTCCTATTTGCTGCCTTATCATACATTTTAGTCAAAAAGGTTATTTCCCTGAGAAGTGTTATAGACACATTTCAGTGATAACTGTTTATATAAAAGACCAGCATTTTGCACACTCATTATACTTATCCCAATAGGCTTCAAAACAGTTTAATTAAGCCCAAAGTAATAGTATTAATTGTGCTAATATTTAAGTAGCACCATTACCTCTCTGTCATTATTGCCAATTAACCAATCTATAGTCACACATGATTTATCTATACCATTAATGGAAAAGGCACAGAGTTTATATAGAGAAACAATTTAGAAAATGATAGATGAGCCTGGGTCCTGGGTTTGCCACATAATTCAATTTCCTTTTAATTTCATGTTTTTCTTGGTAGAAAGATCTGCAAACTTAAAGTGCTAGGTAAATGTCATATGTTATTATAAAAGGCACAAAGCTAAAATTATTATTAAGTTTAGAAAACAATAAAAAGTAATACCCCATTTTATTTTATTTTTCCAGTTGGATAGCCTAGGCCTAGGAAAGTTCCTTAAGAAATAGCTTTTGCAGTACTTTCACTACCAAATAGATTTTGAAATTGATGGGGGGACCTAGATTTGGAGGGTTTTTTGTTGGTTTTTAGTGGGTAAGGAACAGTTTTTAATACACTGTGTTCCCCATTTTAAAGATATGGAACTGACAATAGGAAGCGTAAAGCAACTTAGATCATAAATTTCAGATCTGAAAGGACCCTCAGAGAACATCTAACAACACCATTTTACAAAGGAGAAAATGGAGACCCAGAGAAGAGACTCGATTTGCTGTTTATCATTCCTTCCCTCTTGAACTGCCAAGTGTATAACTTGTATTTTCTTACCTTTACATGAGCTGTAGTCTAACAGCAGAATGCCCTCTTTGAGGCAGGGGCTATTTCTTTCTTATCTTTCTATTCCTGGCAGGGCCTGGCAGAAGCAGTGTGGTACAGTGGAAAAGAGTACTGGGTAGTTCTTGAACAGCACAATATCAGGTGTTAATAATAATGGTGACATTAATAACAAAAAGAGAAGGAGGAGAGGAAGAAGAGAAGGTGAAGAAAAAGAAGGAGAAGAAAGAGGAGAAGAAGGAGGAGGAGGGAGGAGGAAGAGAGGGAAAGGAGATAGAGGAGAAGGGAAGGGAAGAAGGAGGAGAAGAAGAAGACAAAGATGAAGAAGAAGAAGAAGAAGAAGAAGAAGAAGAAGAAGAAGAAGAAGAAGAAGAAGAAGAAGAAGAAGAAGAAGAAGAAATCTCATTTGATCCCTTACTACTCCGGGAAGTAGATGCTATCGTAATCTCCATTTTACAGACAGAGTAACTGAAGCTAAGAGAACTTAAGTGACTTGCCTAGGGTCACACAGCTAATAAGCACCTAAGGCAGGATCTGAACTGGGGTCTTTCCGATTCAAGTCCCGTGTTCTATGCACTGTTGAACAGGTGATAAAGAACTTATGGGGGGAACTAGTCTCAACAGAATTAGAGGTGAATTCCATCAAACATTTAAAGAGCAGTTAATAACAAATTATTATAAAAAGTTGAGAAAGAAAAGATTCTACCAAACTCTATGAAACAAATATTATCCTAATACCAGGAAGAGATGGATAAGGCAAGGAAAGAGGACTACTAGTTGACCAACAGTCATTGAAAACATTCACTTGTGCTAAAAACAAAAAAACCCCATATGAATCTTTGATATAGAAGGGCCATTTTTATGAGATAAAAAGAATACATCTAAAACCCAAAGGTAACATAATTTATCAATGACAATGCTAGAAGCTTTCCCAATACATACAGAAGCAATGCCAGGCTGCCTCCCCTGCTGCTATTGTTCAAAGTTCTAGAAATGCTACTAATAACAGTAAGAAGAGAGATAAATTAAAGGCACAACCATCGGCAACAAAGAGACAAAATTAGTCATACTTGTAGAAGAAATGAAGATATACTTAGAAAATCCCAGAGAATCATCAAATCAATTAATGAGATAATTAATAACCTAGTAGTATGATCAGGTGAGAAGTCACTTAATCTCTCACTAATTAATTTCCTCACCTTGGAATGGGGATAATACATGCAGTTTTCACTTCACAGGGTTTTTATAAAGCTCAAGTGAGATAATACATGGAAAACATTTTGTGAACTTTAACCCACTACCTAAGCCTCAGAGGACTCTGGCCATTTTCTTGTTATCAGACATGAAGCTGCACCTTCTTGACCACCAGACTTCCAGAAGAAGCAGCTAGTTCTTCCTCTCAAAGAGCTTTCTCTAGTGAGGGAAACAATGCATACAGAGAAGAAAGGGATGGGGGATAGAGTTTTGGTTTGGGCAATCACAGGGATTCTGAACAGAGCCACAAGGCAGTCAACTGTTTTGCCCTTTAGCACCAATGATGGTAGTGGTATTGTAAGTGTAAGACCAAAAAGAGGGGAAAAGAGGGCAGGAGGAGGGAAACAAGGTATGGTCAGGCAACAGGGCATATAGTAAGATGCTTGAGTAGGGCTGGCTTCCTGGTGGGTGACTGGGGATACGATGTCTAATGTCCCCTGGATATATTGTGTTTAGAGAGACTTCATTCGCCTTCCTCAATTAGGACAGCTCAGGCCCAAGGTAAAATTTCAAAACTGAGTAGATTAACTCCCTCAGGGTACAGTCTCTGGAAGTCTAGTGAGGAGATTCACTGCTCTAGGAGGGGGGGGGCAAACAAAGAGAGTGTATGTGGTGAGGGGGTAGGCAGAGAATTAGATTGGGCTTGGATGTTGTTAGCACTAAGGTGCCCTTCATGGGGTTCCTGGTTTGCTCTTTTTGGGTCTTCAATCTGTGTGTGTGTGTGTGTGTGTGTGTGTGTGTGTGTGTGTGTGTATTCATAGGTCTCTATGGTGGTTCAATGGGCAGCTAGGTGACACAGTGGACAGAGAACTTGGCCTGGAGTCAGGAAGACTCTTCTTCCTGAGTTCAAATCCAGCTTCAGACACTTACTAGTGATGTGACCCTGGGCAAGTCACTTAACCCTGTTTGACTCATCTATAAAATGAGCTGGAGAGGAACATGGCAAACCACTCCAGTATCTTTGACAAGAAAACCCCAAAAGGGGATCACATGGAGTTGGCCAGAATTGAAATGACTGATCACACACACACTCACACACACACACACACACACATACACACACACACACACACACACATACACACACACACACACACACACAGTGGTAAAAAGCCATTGCTTGTGCTGTTTCAGAGCTTAGAAGGTTGGCTAGTTGGTGCAATGGTCAAGAGGGTCAGGAAGACCGGAGTTCAAATCTAACCTTGGACATTTTCAAGCTGTGTAACCTCAGGCGAATGACTAAATCTCAATTTCCTCAGCCTTAAAATAGGCACAATGTTAGCTCCTACCACTCAGAGTTGCTGTGAGAATCAAATGACATAATATTTGTAAGGAGTTTAGCACAGTGTCTAGCACATAAATATTATATAAATGCTATTGTTGTTGTTATTGTTATTCAGAGCATTCACCAGAATAGCCATATTAAGTGAGGAAGAATACATGTGCTTAAAAGCTTAAGGCTGCCTATCTGATTGAACCAGCTGAGCTCCCTCTTAATCCCCTATCCTTGGACAAAAAATTTACAGTAGCAAGCATGATACTTTCCAATTAAGAAGCACTTTCCCATACAGGACCTCATTTGATCCTCACAACAGCCCTATGAAATAAGCATTATTTCCCCATTCTACAGATGAAAAAGTTAAGGTTCAGTGAGGATAAGCAACTTGCCCAAGGTTTTTGTTATTGTTGTGCAGTCGTTTCAGTCATGTCCAACTCTTCATGACCCCATTTGGGGTTTTCTGGCAAAGATACTGGAGTGCTTTGCCATTTCCTTCTCTGGCTCATTTTATAGATTAGGAATCTAAGGCAAACATGGTTAAATGACTTACCCAGAGTCACATAGCTAGAAAGTGACTGAGGACAGATTTGAACTCACAAAGATGAGTCTTCCTAAGTCCAGTTCCAGCACTCTATCTACTGTGCCACCTACCCCACCCCCACCCAGGTTGCAGACCCAATAAATTCCAAGCATAGTGTTCATTCCCTTCAATTCTTATTCACCAATCCCACATCTTTTAGATATCAGTGCCACATACACAAGACAGCAAAAGTCTATAAGATGAAGTCAGAGTTACGACATGGTCTCTCTGCTTCTTCTAGACAAGTCAAAATTAGTTGCCAAGCCTAACGAAGGTATAGAAATGGCACCCAACACTGTACCTGTGTATACATAAGAGAGATGGTAACCAGGGACGTCAGAATTCTACCAAGCTCAGCTTTTACCTTGTGCAGCTGGTAATACTGGAGTGAACCAATGCCACCTTGCTCCTCAGCAGTCCACAGTACCAAGCGCAGGGTCCTTTTTGGCCTCAGCCCTAGGAAAAGCAATTAAGCAAATGAAACACTGTGGGTGTCCAGTTCTTTTTACTTTTTGCATTCAACCAAGCTGATTTTCTGCCTTCTGGAGAAAAGAGGGACAGGAAGTAATCACCTCTTCTTTCTCCCTCCTCTACCCTGCCCTGGCAGTGCCTGACTCCAGGTATGGCTCACTGAGCCAACAAAAGCCCCATCCACATAGCTCTCCAGATAGGGTTAACAGAGAAAGCAATGATGACAAATGCCCTCTCCAGGCCTGTGAAGCACAGGGCCTGTAATCACACCCTTATCTGGACATCCTGCATGGCAGCACAATGGACTGCCACAGCCTACTAGCCAGAGGTGACTATTGTGGGTTATTAAAGCACTTTCTGAAGAATTCAATCAGGTTTAGGAGGAGGAAAGTCAAGGGAAGGGATCCAGTGACCTTACAATGGCAGTAATTGAAACCCAGCAGTAAATCGAGGCTCTACTCAGGAGCTCTAAGTATCTTGACTTGAGAAAAGTGGGAGGGGGAGGGGAAAGAAGGGAAGAAAATGGGTTTTCCTATGCTGCTGTATCTTAACAACCAAGGAAAGCTATCCATGCTACACCCAGGAAGGGGATGAGCTACGAGGCAGCGGGAATGTGGTTTTGGGTTCCTTAAGTCAGAGCTATTTTACTGCCTTTAAGATAATTCTTTCAGTAACCAAGACAGTGAGTTAAATGCAAAGGGGACATAATACCTGTCTCATAGCATGCACAAAGGTTGGTAGCTACCACTAATTTGGAATTAAGAAAGTACATGAGCCATAGCTATAGCCTCAGCTCCCCTCAATACTTACAGGATCTGTGATTTCCTCAGTGTTGGGCATTCCCTACCCCAATGTCTCCACCCTTCTATGTCATTTTTGTTTGTTTGTTTTTGGGAGGCAATTGGGATTAAGTGACTTGCCCTGGGTCACACAGGTAGTAAGTGTCTGAAGCCACATTTGAACTCAGGTCCTCCTCACCCCAAGGCTAGTGTTCTATCCACTGTACCACCTAGCTGTCTCCTTCTACTGTTGTTCATTCTCAAAGAGGACCAATGGTATTAGGAAGGTAATGTCTTGACTTGCAAGTGAATTAGATTTCATGAGGCAGGGCTGTGCAGTCATCAGCCTCACCCTCTCCTCTGGAGCCATCTGAGTCCAGTGGCAAGACATAGGTCAGAACAATCTGAGATGACCCCAGACGCAGGGGGAGACCTTGGCCTTTTTAAGCTAAGGTCTCCCTTCTATGAATTCTGCTGAATACCTCTGGTATTGTTGTAAGCATTAGAGGTGGGACTTTTAATAATAGCAATAATAACATTTGCACAAAGGCTTTACGGTTTGCAAAGTACTTTACACATGTTAGCATTTTTTTATGTGAATGAAAAAATTCCTCACTGAGTAGCCAAGCTGGTAATGAACCCTTTCCAAAACTACCTAGGCTGGTACTTGGATGACAGACGTAAAGTAGAGTCCCAGGACGATCCTCAAAGCCTTCTCAGCTTGGTAGGCCTCTTAGATCTTGCCCTCCCCAGGACAGCCTTAACAAACAAAATAAAAACAAAAACAAACAAACAACAACAACAACAAAAAACTAAGGGCAGCTAGGTGGCACAGTGGATAGAGCACCGGCCCTGAAGTCAGGATGATTTGAGTTCAAATCCAGCCTCAGACCAAACACTTGATACTAGCTGTGTGACCCTGGGTAAGTCACTTAACCCTAATTGCCTCAAAAACAAAACAAAAAAACAAAAAACAAAAAATCCTAGAATAACTATTTACTACATTGAGGCAGCACAGGCATGATCACTAACAACTATCTATAAAAGGTCTGCTTCTTAATTACTTTTCTCTAAGATGGCTGCATGATAAGATAAAAATGTCTCACTATTGTAAATGACTCTATTTGGAGCCGGTGTGGTCCAGGGGACATAGCAGTGACTTTGGAGTAAAAAGACTTGGTTCAAGTGGTGGACTTGGGGCCCCAGTGAACAGAGTGTAGGACTTGGAATAGGAAAGATGTAACTTCAAATCCTGTTTCAGACACTAGCTGAATGACCCTAGGTAAGTCACTTAACCTTTCTCAGTCTCAGTTTCCTTATCTGTGAAATGGGACTTACAATGAGCACCTCCCTCAGAGGGTTGTGGTGAGGATCAAATATGATAATACATGCAAAGTACTTTGCACACCTTAAAGTGCTGACCTAAATGCTTATGTCGCTATTGTTGTTATTCACATCCTGGTTCTGATGCTTACCACCTGTCTGACTTTCAGAAAGTCATTTAATTTCTTCAGTCTTCATTTCTTCATCTTTTAAAGGAGGAGGTTAGATGAAATGACCACAACTCTCTGCTTAGCCCTTGAGCTACACCCCTATGTTCCATTTTAAGTACACCTAAATGATGTTCTTGAGAAATAATAAAAACCAGAAAAATATAAAACTTGCCTCAAGTAGAATAAATGGATTATGTGTAGGGAGGATCCTGCTTTGGTTCTATCTTACCACAATGCTATTTTTTTTTTAGGCAATTGGGATTAAGTGACTTGCCCAGGGTCACACAGCTAGTAAGGGTCAAGTATTTGGTCTGAGGCTGGATTTGAACTCAGGTTCTCCTGACTTCAGGGCCCGTGCTCTTTCCACTGCACCACCTATCTGCCCCTGGTTCTACCTCACCAGCAGGCCACAAGCAGTGATTAGCTTAAGTCATAATGCACACAGACAATTCTGAGATGGGCACAAAGGGAATATAAAGAATCCACTCTGCATGAGAAGCAGCCGAACTCATTCTCTAGGCCTCTCGACTTTTTCTAATAGCCTTCCCATCCCTGGTGATAGCTGTGACCTGAGGTCAGAGAGGCCCCAGTCCACTTTAAGCTCAACTCACTCTCTGGACTTCTCCCCTTTCTAGAAGCCTTGCCCTCTCCTTCAATCCTCCTCCACTCCACCCCCAAACTCCCTTTTATAAGTTATTTTCCCCCATCAGAATGTAAGGTCCTTGAAGGTAGACACTGCCTTGTTTTCCTGTATCTGCAGTGATTATAACAATGCTTGGCATTGTAAGCTCTTCATAAAGGTAATGTTCTCTGTCTCTCTTGGTCTCTTTGTCTCTGTCTCTGTCAGTGTCTCTCCCTCTCTGTCTGTCTAAATCTCTCTTTCTCTGTGTGTGTCTCTCCTCCTCCCTCCCCGTCTCTATGTCTCTCTCTCTTTTCTCTCCCCTCTCTCCTTCTCCTCCCTCTCTCCTCTCTCCTTCTCTTCTTCTTCTTCTTCTTCTTCTTCTTCTTCTTCTTTCTTCTTCTTCTTCTTCTTCCTCCTCCTCCTCCTCCTCTTTTTCTCCTCTCTCTTCTCTCTTTCCTCTCCCTTTCTTCTCTTTCTCTTCCCATCTCTCCTATCTCTTCTCTTTCCTTCTCCCCTGTCCCTCTCTGTGTATATCTGTCTGACTTCCCCTTTCTCAACCACCTATCTACACCCTATAACAGAGAGAACAAAGAGTTGGGAGTCAGAAAATCTGGGTTCATATATCAGCTATTTCACCAACTACATACATGACCTTGGGCATTCAGCATTCTAAGCCTGTTTCCTCATCATCTAGGCCTGTAAATTGAGAAGGTTGCCCTGGATGACACTTTAAGGATCCTTCTAGCTATAAATCTATAAAAACAGCTAGATGGCACAGTGGATAAAGTGCTGGACCTGGAGACAAAAAGGCTTGGGTTCAAATCCAGCCTCATATACTTACTAGATATGTGATCCTAGGTAAATCACTTAACCTCTCCCTCAGTTTCTTCATCTGTAAAATGAAGATAATAATAGCACTTACCTCCTTAGGTTGTTGTATAGATGAAGTAAGATAATATTTGTAAAGTACTTTTCAAACCCTAAATACATATGTATGTAAATATATGTATGTATACATACATATACACACACAGGTATACATATATATTAAAGACATATATATATATTGTGTATATATATATATATATATATATATATATATATATACCTGTATAAATGCATTATATAAACCTATATAGATGCTAGCTATTGTTACCCCTATAAGCCCATATTCAATATGAATATACAAGACAGTATACCGAGCAAGAGTACTGGAGGTAAGAATTAGAGTGACTTCCAACTCTATCTTTTCTTCAAGCTGATTCCAATGATTATTTCCCACCATCAGTCCTGGCACATTTCATGAGGTATTTTAAAGAAACACCAAATTTTAAATTTGGAAGGGACTGTAGCAGCCAACCAGTCCAACCCATATGCAAAAGGAAACCCCACCATAACATCCATGACAAACTTCAGACACCTCCTCCCTATGTCTCCAGTCAGTCTGCTCCACTTAGAGATGACTCTAATTATGGGGAAGTTTTTCTTGCCATAAAGCTTAAGTTCGCTGCTTTGCAATGTCCACTCATGGCTCCTAGGTCTGTCCTCTGGGGCCAAACAGACTAAGTGTAATCCCTCTTACACATGACAGCCCTTCAAATACTTAACCCCAGGCATGATATCTCCCCTGAGTTTCCTCTTCTCCAGAGTTAATATTTCTGGTTCTTTCAACTAATTCCCATGTGAAGTGGACTCAAGGCCCTTCAACATCCTGGTTTCCCTCCTGTGGAAATTTTCCAGTTTATTAAGGATTTAGATCATGAGTTTGCTGTGCCAGGATCATAAATATTTCTACTGTGAACAGTACTGTGAACACCCTGACACACAGCTCATTTACAACTCTATAAACAAACCAGTATAGTCCCTTATCTAAGTTCAAATTCTCCTTCAGATGCGTCCTAGATGTGTGATTCTGGGTAACTCATTTAACTTCTCTCTATCTCAGTTCCCCTTTGTGCAAAATGGGGATAACAATAGCATCTACTTCACAGAGCCGATGATACAACAATATAATATGTGCAAAGTTCTTTATAAACCTTAAAGTGTTATGTCAATTTTAGCAATTATTAATTATGAGTGCTTGGAGTGAAA